CCCCACCCGCCGCAAACACGCCACCGGCTTATACGCTACGAGTTTATTAGACAACGTAATATTATACAGTTACTGTAATATAAGATATAATTTTAATGTATAAACGTAATATAATAAATTGTGTTTTTTTTTTTTTCTTGTCTAATCGAACGATCGTAATAATAATATTATAAGCTCGCACACGATTAGTTTTATTTTACCCGCAGCAATCACTGAACGTATCGAGTACAAAACAGTATTTTATAAGCGATTCCGCGTGTGTACGGAAAACCGACGTAGTATCAAAACTGCGGGGTTTTCGCGGTGTTCGTCGGTCGCATAAATGTCGATTTCGATGCCGGGATAAACGCGCGGACGGATTATTACCAAAATATCAATAATGAAGATGTAGAACAGTTTTTTATTCTCTTTAGAAATCTTAATCTACACCGATCTCAAATGATTTCCTATGTATAATAGGTCTGGAAAAAAAAAACCCGTATATCCCCTTATAAACCATTCAGCACAACTTTTAACGTTTGTTTCGGCACCGAAATCGGGTTTACACAATCAACGAGGCCTGAAAACTGGAAATAAAACGCATTTCCGCCATATTGTATTACAATGTAATATTCGACGTCCTCTTGAGCTTATCGTCGGCCGAGGGTCGCGTAAGAAGTTAGGACGTGACGATGCGTACGCCGTCGGAAAAAAAAATCGTTGTTCGAAAATAGATTACTTTGTTTGTAAACATCGAGTCGACAAAACATAAGTTGTTTGGGTAAACGTAAGTACTGGACGCGGTGTTCCATAACGGAGCGCGATGGAATATTTTCGATTTGCGTATACTTACGTCGGATACGAGTTATACGAACGCTGGATCATAGCGTCCTAAAACAGAAAAAAAAAACAATTCGAATACCAGTAAACGGTAATATTTTTCCGGCGGACGATTTTCCCGAGTATTTAAATGCGATTCCGTAAAAATAAACCGGTGTCATTCCGGGAAACAAAAAGCTCCGCGGTTAAGTTTCAAAAAAAAATGTTTTTTTCCACAAATTGTACGGCAAAAATTAATTTATTGTTTAGCATACATACTCACCGAGTACTCTGTATACAGGGGCTTCATGTGAGATATGGCGGGGTATGCTTATGCACACCTGAAATTCATCAACATTGCATTTTGGCCCGGCTGTAATTGTACTTTTTTTGTTTTTAAATCAGTCTTAAGCATCGGTATTTACGGCCATAACCTGTAGGTGTAAACCAATACTTTTTTTATTTTTGTAACAAATGTGTAGTACCTAAAATATAAAATGTCGGCCTGCTGAACAGTTTTTCGGCCCGCCTTTCAAAAAGTTGAAACGACGCCCTTGTCTGTATATTATGAAGATGTGATAATACGGTTTTGTTGTTTGTTGTCCTACGAGATAAATATCGGGGAGGGGAGGGGAAACCACATATCTGTAATGATACTTTGGTACTAGCGAAGAAGGGCTCGAGTCAATTTCGTGTATTTTTTATTAACGGCAAAATTAAATATTTAAAACACACACACACACACACACACACTCGTACGTAAACAACCAATACATTGAAACATCGCGTACACACTAATGCGTATTAGACGAACAATTAACAATAAAGCGACACGAGGCAAATTATATGAAACAAAAAAAAAAAACCAAAATCTCAATAACTGACGCTTCCTCCCCGGGACCGTATTGGTTTTATCCAACACCAGTAACGCGTAAATAAACCGTGGTCGTTGCCACGAGAATCGTTACGATAAAATCGTACGCGAACACGCCCGAACATAGTACACCCGGACACGGCAATACTATAATAAGCATCGCGATTGATATTGTAACGCGCGCTCGCGTCCGTTACTTTAGCTCTAAACGAGTGTCGTGCGATTAATCTCGCGTGGCGATAAAAAACAAAAAAAACAAAAAAAACAAAAAAACAAAACCTCTAATGTAATTGCGTCATAATGATAACGCGTGGCGGTCGCAATAACGTAATCACAACGCAATAATGATGGTAACTGTCGAATTTAATTTCGCCAGGTGCTGTCCGGTTCGGGATCACGGAGTTCGATTCCGTCGGGATTTCGATCGTGTCCCGTAAGCGTCCCCGCGGGGCAGTAGGCTTATTCACCGCGAAAAAACATCGTAACGCATTATCACGTTGATTACGGGACGCAGTGATAAAACGTGAACGCAATCAACACGGTTCGCATCGGGTGCCGCCGGTGACGCCCGACCCCCGCGCTGCACACGAACCGTGTCACGACCAATCCTTTAGGACGAATCCGGGTCCCGGGATGTATTTAGGCGTATACGAATCGAGCCCCTTGACGGTTCGGCCATCACACTAATTGAGACCGCGTTTCAATGCCGACCGAATCCCATCAATCGAACTTTTTTTTAAAAAACCATCAAATTTACATTTTAGATTCCGAGGTGGAGCGAAGAAGATTATGGCGTTAAAATGAAGTTTATTCTTTTTATTATTTTTTTTTTTTTATCCGTGCGCAACTTTTCTACCGGAAGACTTGCTCGAGAGTTTTCTCATCAAATGCGAAAAACCGAAAAAAAAATTGGGAAAATGTACGAAACATAATAAACATAATCTTACGATTATGTTTTTCTGTTAACAACTTTTCTGCCAACAATTTTGCTCCAATTTTTATTGATAGCAATGTTTCTAAAATTAAATTTCACTAGAGAGGTCATTATTTAATAGTTTTTCCAGCAAATGTGAAAAACCGTGATAAAACACGAGAAAACCGAGAAAAACGTAGGAAAACTGGGAAAATCGGTACGACGTTAAACTAATTTTATTTTAGAAAATATATAGTCTTTTAAATTATTTTTCTATAAAATGGCATATATATAAACTAGTTGTCCCGCGCCCGGCGTTGCCCGTGCCAATTTTAATTATTATTATTTTACCCGTATTCAATTTTGGTTTTGGCCGTGTTAGAATTGAATGAAAACAAATAAGTGGAAAGTGGGTAATCCACCTGCGGCGGCCTAAATGTGTTCTATAGTGATATTTGAATAGTGTAAAAATTATAATAGTTTTATTTTATAATGTGTCGGTGACTCGACACAATAATAACCTATAACCTATATAATAACCTTACGAATACACGAAAAAAAAAAAAATCAGGAGTATCGATCCGTCCGTTTTTAAGTTATGGCGTTGGCGAAAAAATATCATTTCATTTATACATACCTATATAATATAAATGTGCGTATTTGCTGATATATTCAAATTTATATTTAAAAAAAATAATAACTCGATTGTATCATTCTCTTGGCGCCCTCTGATGAATCTTTATTTATTAATTTTCTATCAGAATGAACATTTCAATTTTGGAACAACTTACACGGAATATCTTACTGATTATTCACTTTTTGTTTTTTAATTTCATTCGTATTACCAAGATAACCTATAAATCAACAAAAGAAAATTCGTTGTACTAAAAATACCAATTACTTTGTGTCAGCTACCATTGCAATGCCACCAATCGGGTCCAATTGTGAATCTAAACCATCCAGGGACCCATTCAAACACAGCATAAAAAATTTCGTCAAAATCAGTCCAGCCGTTTAGTTCAGTGACATACACACGTACAGTAGAATTATATATATATATATATATATATATATATATATATATTGTTGACAAAGCATCATTATCAAATAAATTGCGCTTAAAATCGTTTTTTATTAAGCAATGATTTATCGTAGCCAACAGATATACATTCTTTATTTCTTTATTCCCGTCTTTATCCTACATTCCCAACTTCCAATCTAAAGCAGAGGCAGCACCCGTCCCCACTATCTTAACTTTCTTTTTTATATTGGTGAAAATGTATTATGATACGAATAGTTTAAATGTTACTTGTGATTCCCAAAAGTTTTTCTAGCAAATGGGAAAAACTAGGAAAAACATAAAAAAAAACGGGAAAATCGGTACAATATTAAACAAATATTGTTAAAGAAAATATTTAATATCTATTTAATTATTTTACCACAATATGACATATATAATGTTGAAAAAGCATCACTATCAACTTAACTCCGCTCAAAATCATTTTTAATAAGGAATGGTTTATTGTTGTTTACAGATACAAATTAATTTCCTCTCTATATCCTACCTTCCCGACTTCTCAACAACAGTGACTGCACCACTCATGCGTAAAAGGTCCGTCTTTTTTTTATTCTGAGTGTAGCGAGGACTCTATTGGTTTTATAATGATGTTTTTTTTTTATCTGTGAACTCCGATAAGACAAAAAATGTTATTAAAATGTTTTTAAAAATACTTAAAAGTAATGAAAACGGCCGCTTTTTCATTATAAATAAAATATTAAAATAAAAATTGAATATATTTTTTTTTTAATTATACTACATTCTATAGTTGCTATTATAATATAATACTTTGCTAAAATCATATACCAATATTAAATAATATATATATTAAGTATGAGTAGATGTTAAATAAATTATGATATAAAACTATGTATAAATAATTCTTTATTTGAAAATAAAATCTTATTTCGGTGTAAGAAAACATTTTAAATAAAATGTATTAATATTAAAAACATTTATCTAAATAATATTTTTGATAAAACATTGCTGGAAAGATGAATGGGAAAAATCAGAATTAATTAACTCATCGCTCATTAAGAACCCTACAAACAAACCACCTGGCTTCAATTTACCACGGAGAATCTGGACAACCTTAAACCGATTACGTACAGGTCATGGAAGAGTGGGACATTTTATGCACAAATGGGGCATTACTCCTAACTCAGGTTGTGACTGTGGTGCCCCCAACCAGAACATAGACCATATCATACAAGAGTGCCCTAAGAGAAAGTTCGGAGGAAAGCTTGAGGACATTTTTAACGCGACCCCTGAAGCTATCGAATGGGTGAAAAGTCTGGACATTATTCTATAGTCATTATACTTTTATACTTTGATACTGTTGTTTATACCAATTGTCATTATATTCTGTTTTGCTACCTGCTTATTACTATACATAAATTATATTATATATTATATATTGTTTCATTGTCTATGCCATACGAATAATAATAATAATGATAAAACATTTAAAAATTGAACTTTAAATATTTTAACTGCAATACATATTGCAATAGCAATATTGTAATGTGAAAAAAATGTTTTAAAAAATTTGTTGGTTTATTGATTATAGCAATATAAAAATATCGGAAATTAAAAAGTATCATTATATAAAGATATATTTTTTTCAGGCTTTAAATTTCAAATTGTTAATAACATTTGTTAAATAATCGTCTTAGGAACCACTCTCTTAGATAGTATCCTTCGCATATGACTGTCTATTAAAAAATGTAAAACAAAGTTCGAAGATTACTTACGTATAATCTAATAGAATTTGTTTTTAATAAAACTAATTTCAGTTTTTAAAATTTCATTAAAAATATCTCTGTAACATTAAATAAAGTATCCCTCCCCTATCTGACACAAAAACCTAAACTAAAGGGGACTGATAATTATATTTTAAATAAGAAGGATCCCTTGTCCAGTCTAATGACAGTCAATGGAAGGGTTAAAAATTACAAATATGATTTCTGAAATAATATTAGCTTATACCATTGATTATGAAGCAAGCAGTCCAAATATTTCCACTGAAGTTTTTTTTTTTAAAAAAGAGCAATTACTTGGAATATTTCTCTTTCCAACTTATATAAACACAAAAAGTATTATGAGCCAATCCTCTGCACTTACACGGTTTATGCTATAAATAAACATTATACACATTATGGAAACTTTATTTACGACAAAACTGACCTTAATTAGCATTTTGGGAAAAAATTAAAAAATAGTATAGACAAAATGTTATAAAGTTTAGTATATTATAAATATAAACGCATTTAGGTATATTCTAGACATTATAAAAAAATAGTAAAAATTAAATAAGTACATGAAAATACATATAAAATATTATCTCAATGTTTGACATAAATAAATCAAAATTTAATGTAATAAATAAAATATAAATTTGATAAAATAATAAATAAGTACAAAAATAGAACACAACTCTAATGTCTTTAAAATAACTTATCATTAAGTTTTAAATACTTATGGCTTAATTTTTCAATATAATATCAAAAATGGTAGTACAAAAATAAAAATAATATTCAAATTTATATTAAATAATAGTAGTATAAAAGAGTACAATTATAATTGGTTAGGTTTTATTTGAAAACGTTTTAAATTTATTTCTTTTCATTTTTGTTCAGTGATATAAAAAATATAGTTTTTAATAGAAAATAACACTTATGCCACTGCCATTTTCAATTATCAATTTATGTTTTCTGTTTTTATTTTTATTAAGGTTATTGCATTTTTATTATTTAATAAAGTTTTCAACGAGTTTTCCAGACCCAATTTGTATAAAACATATTATTATTCATTTCATTTAATCAGATTCAATGACTTAATGGATAAATAAAATATTATAAAACGAGAAAACATTATAATTTGTTTTGTTTTATTTATTTTTTTTATTAAAATATATTATTATTGTTCAATTTTATTAATATTTAAAAAATAACATTAATAAAAGATGTTTTTAAAGTAATTTTTTTTCTTTAAATTAAAACCAAAAATGACAAGTCTACAATAAATAATAATAATATTTAAAAAATAAATGTATTTTAAATATTCATGTAAAAATACGTATACATTACATATTATATTTATATAAATTCAATCATTTAAAATGTTTATTTTCATTCAATAACTTTTTTAAAAAACGTTTTCTATCCTAAGTTTCAAGACAAAATATAAAATGTAATAAAATTAAGAGCAAATTGTTAAAAATAGTAAGTATAAAATTTAAATTTAAGAAATGTCAGAATAATTACAATGTATTGGCAAAAATGTTTAAATTAATTATTTTAATATTATAACACTCAATTTGAAAGACTGGTTTGAGCAAATAGTTGCTTTTTATAATTTAATAATATAGTTGAATTTAACACTGCCAGTTTATATAAAAATTAAATAAAAAGTTTTAAAAATTAAAAACAAAATATTAAAATGTACATATTCTTTTAAATAAAACTAGTTTGTATAAAAATATGTTTGTGAAAAAGTTATTATTACAACACTTAAAAGCACAATAAGAGATTCTCTAATTATTAAGGGTAAATCTTAACATATTCTGTTTTAACATTTTATTAACACCGTCATGGTAAAGAGGTAGACTTATTTTTAGTAATTTAAAGATTCGATTATTTACTCTGAGTGTTCAGACTATATTTAGCACAATAAATCAATTAATCATATTTGTTCTATAATATATTTTACTTACTGAATATTATAATTCAAACTACAAGTTATTTATATTTTCGCAAATATTTTACTTAAAAATGTTTATTGAACTAGTATTTTTATTTTATATCAATATGACTTTTTATAAATACCTAATGGCATGTACTTAAATAATTTACAAAGTAGAGAAATAAATATTATCAATATATATAAAATGGTTACTTATAATTTTTTTTCTCAAACTTAACTAACCTGGTCAACATTGATGTAATACAAGGAATTTGTTTCTGTTGATGCATTAAAGTATTATTAGGAACATTTGATTCAAAGTCAATAGCCACTCTGCGATTCACATATGTCAACATAGTCAAAAGATCCAGCTCAAAACCATATTTATTAAAAGCTTCACATAAAGCTTGCATAAACCATGAGCCTTTTTGGGTGTTACGCCATGAATAGTAACCTTAACAAAACAATATAAAACATACTAAATTACTTTAAACCAAGATAAATGTTGGAAAATCAATAGATTGTTAATATAGATTACAACCAATTATTGATTTATAACTACCATCATTAACTTTATTCTACAACATAGTATCTAATTACATTAAGTCACTTAAATGTTGGCCACAGTTTTAATTTAACTAATTACAAATCAGTCACACTTATAACATAAAATCTGTAACAACTGAATTTTATTAAAACAAATGTAATTTTAGCATGCTTATATTTATTTATTTATATATATATATATCAGGTGATTCATTTAAGTGGGTACACTCATTATCTCAGAAAATAATAACTTATTCAAAAATTTGTTGTCTAGAACATCCACTATTCTTTTCCAACCTAAAATTAAAAGTAGTATATCTTTTCAAAGACTTGACAGAAATAAAAAATTTCAACACTAAAATTTATTTTAACTAATACTCAATCTATTTATGGACTTTTTAATGTAGGTAGCCATTTGAAAATCAAAAGTAGGTAGTTATTTTACCCCCAAAAATAAGGGTGATAAAAAATAACACAAACATAACATTTTGAAGCAGCTTGTTAATTAAATGTACTAGGATACCAGAAAAAGTTAATACTTTCCGAGATAATGAGTATACCCATTTAAATGAATCACCTGGTATATATACATATACAGGCAAATGCCTTTTTTACAAGATTGTACAACCAATGTAATATTTTTAACAGTAAATCTTAAAGACAAACATAAATACTATTATATCAAAATTAATATTAAAGTCTTAAATCTGAAAATATTGCGGGGAAATACAAAAAAAATCTAACTTTGTGTTAATCTTATTAACCAAAACAAAATCTCTTTAAAGAAATTTATTAATTCAACTGACGGTACTATAATTAAAAACTAAAAATAAATCTAAATTTCTAGTGTTTCTACATGGTACACGGAAACCAATTTCAGCCAATAGCTCAGGATAGTCAATGAGGTTGTTCAAAATATTGTATACTAACATAATATCTATTAATTTACATCTTGCATTTAGTGAGTCTAGGCTCAAGAAGTTTTCAACAACATTAACAGTATCTCTAGTGATATGTATATCGGAGATATAAGCAATTCTCTTCAAAAATTTATATTAGACATTATCAAAATCATTTGTGTATTTTGAATAATTACAAGACCAAATAAGTGAGCCAAACAGATTAAATCTTACTAATGGCACATAAAATGTTTTTAAACAAATAGGGGTTTTAAACTCTTTCGTATTTCTATTGATAAAACCTAGCATTTTATAAAAATAATTTTCAAAGTAAACACACAAGACTTTAATCAAATTTACTATATCAAGAAAATGGTTACTAATTTGATTCTGAAATATTATTGGACTTTTACTGTAAAAGAGATAACCTGGCATCTGTTAATATTTAGAGGAAGAAGATTTTGTTCATTCAATTGGAAGTTTATAAAGGACGGATTGTTAAATATTAACTTATATAATCATTGTATAAGGATAGGTTCGATCAATCAACTTGACATTTTGCACGAACAGGTATTTTCAATAAAAATAGAAAAATCAAGAATCAAAATATTTTTGTTTTCATCTTATATATTTCTTTCGACCCATCATAGCTATCAGGAAAAAATTCCAAAATATTGAAAAATGCAAAATCTTTTATAAATGTGATTTATTACAAGCTATTAATTACTTTAATCATATACAATATACATGATTTAGAATTCAATAAAATTGGTTTGATTAATTTTATTAAATTAAAATTTGTTTGTTTTTAAAAAGATTATTATTTGCATCTAATAATAAAATTATATAATATGAAAATAAATTGTTTACTTACCAGGTATAGTTGAGTATGCAATAAGAAAATCTGCATGAATAGGTATTTTAAATGAAGATCCACCTCCATCCACTTGTGTTCTCATCGTAATTCCTTTATCCAATCGATCTCCTTGACAAGCCTGAATGAAAAATAACTTTGGCTTGTTCGCTAAAGATAAACATTTGTCACCAGTAAATCTTCCCCAAAGTTGGTCCTCTGGCTTATAAGGTCCATCCTTGGCATAAATAATTCCTTGTTCACCGTGAGAAAGAACTGCCATCAATAAGCAATCATAGTCAGAATAATCAACTTCTTCAGACCCTAAAAAATAAACAACTAATTAATATGATGAAAATCAAAATAAAAATAGCTATGTTAGTTAAATACAAAACTATTTAACATCAATATGAATAATATTCTGTAGATGGTTTGTAATTAATCATATAAAACAATATATATCCTATATAAAAATATACATACAATAATTGAGTTTTTTATTCATTTCATTTAATGTTAAATCAACATATGGTGTAACATCAAATCCAAGATTTCTTAAGGCTGCCTCTAAATGGTAACAGTCCGTTCCAGTACCACTCCTAGATTTAAGATCTCGAACTTCAAAGTTTTCATGATTAAAGATTATAGCCTTTCCGCGGTGCTTATGTTTCATATTGTAAAACCATGCATCCTTATCTGTTGGACTAATACCAAGTGAACGCCGAGATTGACTTTGAAAACTACAATTAAAAAAAAATTTACCTAATTTACTTAATGCATAACTAACAAATAAATAAAATCAATTTTAACTTTAGGTATCTAATATAAAGACATACGGTTATTAGATAAGGAATTCAATTACTTTTTAAATAAATATTTATTATACTAAAAAAATCAAAAGTAATCATACGGAATCTAGGGCAAATAACATAAAACAATTTAAATTAAATTAATATTATGTGCATTTACTTTATTTAAAAATTAAATTTAAGACTTAATTTAAATCTTTAACTTTTGAAGTTATGGATTCATATTTACTATTGGATTTTCAAAGTTTTAAATGTCTAGAATACCAAAGTTGTGATTATCTATATATTTTATAAATGTTTATTGCATAATGTTTAACATTTTTGTCTCTTTTGTAACTAAAGGTTGTACATTATTTAAAAAATTAATACCTATTCCAATACTTTTGTGATAAACAAATTAAACATTTTAGTTAATTTAATTTTACAGAGAATAATTATTTCATACATAATAATTTGTTGAGGTTTATTAAAATAATATAACACTATAGTCTATTCAGGTTAAGAGTGCCCACTCGCTCGGACGAAAACCAGTTCAGTTCGCGCATGTATTTTTCTACAGGGAGCAGTGTGGTGTACCGACACGCGTTATACATAGTGTGGTATAGTATCACAACGTTTTCACAACACACCGTGGCTGTACTACAAACAAACCGAACATTTCACGCCGTCCGTTTTTTTAACTTGTTTAATTATTTTTTTACCAAACATGGATAATTTCAGCAGTGATGAAAATGAACAAGCAGGACCATCAGGACCATCTCCAATTAAAAGAAATAAATATGGAAAAGTGAGTACATATTATAATTTATATAAATATACAAAATGCAAATATCATTTTTTTAACCTTCAGACTAACGAGTATTTTGAATCTCTTTTGTACATTTATTTCAATTTTAGCCATCAATATTTCAATCCTTATTTATTTTATTTATTACATCATTTTTTTTTTCGAATTTTTACATTAAAATATATTATAAGCACAAAGTATTTTTATTTCAGATTATCAATACAGGTGAAAAACAAAGAATTGTAAATTCTTATAAAACAATTTTGTTGTCAGACCCTAATAAGTCTGTAAGGCAGATTAGAAAAATCATTTCGGACCAAATAGGTGTTGGGGAACGGACAATTCAAAAAATAATTACGGAGTATAATAATACGAAATCGGTGGCTGCTCCAATTCCAAAACGTTCAAGACAGTCTTACATCGATCGGTTTGGTGAATTTGAAAGAAATGCTGTCCGTAGTCACGTTTACCAAATTTGGTTTCGACGCGAAATTCCTACAATGGACAAAATCCACCAAATTGTATCTGCTGACAAGAGTTTGCCAGTAATATCGTGAACCAATTTATACCACTTAATGAAGAAAATGGATTTTTGATATACAAAGCGAAGTCGAAACAGTGCTATGACCGAAAGAAACGAAATAGTTGGGTAGCGAGACACGTCGTCAGAGACAACATCTGATTCAGAATGAAAATTTAATTAAAACATTTTTTTTTTTTTTGTAAATATCTTTAATTTTGTATTAATTTATGTATTTGTAATTTTGTATATCATTTGTATAATAATATAAAATATGACGCAACGGAGAATACCTGTTTTGTTTTTATTATCGTATGGTATACACGGCGGCGCGTTGCCGACTCCGATAAACAACGATAGTGATCAAACAATGCCGACCAATCACAGGGTCTGACAGTTGTCGGCAGCTTGGTATGCATGCGCGAGTTGGGCACTCTTAACCTGAATAGACTATACCACCTGTCCCTATGGCTTACCCAAAACAGTTGCCTACTAAATGAGTGAGGACTTTCTTGCTCCTATATTTTGAACACGAAAACAACAAAATACATTAAATTAAAAAATATGTACAGAAAATAAATAATAAGCAATGAGTAAAAATTATATAAGCAAGTTAAATAGGTATATATATTTTATTTTTATCACTTTTAAATATACATTTAAATTTTAAATGTACAAATAATTTGCAAAGTAGATTAGATGAGTCTCACACAGGATTTGAGCAATTGGAATTTAACATATTCAAAATACCAGTAACAAATGAAATTATGACCACTTAATTAAGACACAATAAAAAAAAAAATGTAGACACTCGGCAACAAGAAATAAGCGAAGTTAGTGTAACATCATACTATGTAATTTACTACTTATACTATAAATAGGAAAGTTATTTTTAATAATTTAAAAAAATTGGATCGACATAAAGTTAAAAAAAAAACGTGCAAGATTTGGTTGTCAAAGAACGGAGACAAGTGATGTGTACACAAATTATATTAATATTATTAATCAGCAATTTGATTTTAATTAAAACTGTGAAAAAAAATCTAACTTAGAATTATTACATGATTACAGTTCGTCAGTATAAAATTAAAAACAGACATATGATGTTAACTAAAATACCTAGGTACTTTAGCCATTTATTAAAAAAAAAAAAAAATTTTGATAAATGGTAACCCTAATTAATTTTTACTGACAAAAATTTGTTTTTTGTTTTATCATATATTCAAAAATGTGATATTAATATAAAATTGAGCAGGGACTAATTGTTTTTGTAAAAATTATTATATACAGATTGTTCGCACAAAGCGTTTCTTCGTGGGGATCATTTCTTCGTTTACCTGTGTATCTACATACATGTATGTTCACACCTCATTAACTTAATAGTATTATATTAACAGATCTATTCTCATATTAAACCATTCAATGTCTTTTAAAGATTATATTCTAAAGGACACTTATTTTAAATTAACAGAGTCGTATTCAATTATATGTAAAAAAATTATTCAGTAAACTGAGTATCTAATTGTCTCAATAATAAATGATTTTGAAAATTATTGTTATTAACTAATGAAAAAAAATTAAGTATAATGTTACGAGTGTGTATCAAGATAAATGATTTGTATTATTTAGTAAGTCGTCATAAAGTGACTACTATACATTAAATAGAATGATTAAAGATTGCTCAACAAAGACAGGTATGTGATAATAATCGAAAACAATGTTTTTTTTTGTTCACCGGACAAAACAAAGGCAATTATTATTATATTATACTGTAATGACTCACAATGGACTCCCAAAAGCATCGCCAACATCTTCGGAACGTCGATTAAATCCGGTCAGTCCATCGATTTGTGTTGTCTGAGTGCTGCTGGTCGAAGTGGCGACATCGCCGTTGCCATTTTCGTATCTGAAACAATGACACAATAAGATGGGATCCCGAAGAGAATAATCCAAAAACAAAACGAAAAATGGGTCCAGGTATTTACTGATATTCGGGGTTCCCGTTTTTTTCCATCGCAAACAAAAGGAACAACACTTGATTCAAACAAAGGAACTACTGTACTTGTTGTTCAGCGGACGGAATTAAAATGGAGAACGTATAGATATTTTTTTTGAACAATGAAAATTCTGCGACCGGATACGGTATTTTCCTAATTCGCGACGAAAACACAATAGCGCTGGCGATTACTGAGAAGAATTGCACACGACCGACAACTAGCAAGATATGAAGCAAATAGTGACAACCAACAGTTCCGGTTTCGATAATTCTGATAATTATTGCTCCGTCACGCTAAACGATAATTATTTTGTTATCGCGTTAACAACGTAATGTACAGTGCTGCCACCATAATGTACGCTAGGATACAATAAAAAAAAAAAATAATAATTGATATCCGTCGAATTTCACCGAATACTACCCACCTAAAGTAAAAATCCGTTCGGAAGGTAATTTCCATTTTCCAAGCAGTCTTGGAAAGCCGATTCGGGAAACGTCTTGCGAAGGACGGGTTAGGTAACGGTATTAACGGTTTCGTTAGTTACGATTTTGTTCATAATTGTGATTCGGTTAAACTATATGCCTAATCATAGAGATCTGACACAATACTCACACATATTGTGGCCGCTTTTTTGTTTTGGACGCGGTAACGTTTTCAAAACGTTCTGGCGACTTTGACCTACATATCCGGGTCATTTTAGTTTTCGTTTCGTTTCGACGGATGATGGTGTCCATCCGTGATGGGCACCCGGGCCCGTATTCCTAATCGGATCGGTACGGTCGGAATATCGGTCAAGCGGGTTGCACGGGAGTCGGTTTTGTAAACGAGGGGGGTGGTGGTCTACACGAATGTTTACCCGCGTTCTCGAAACGCGGTCCGGCGCCGCCGATACGCACCGTGCGGAACGTCACCTGACCGGCAACGTCACGTCGAAACGTCTTACCGCACGTTTATACCGCCATGTTCGCGCGCACCGGTCACTTTGCGCAACGGCAACGTTGTATCAAAAACCGTACGTTTTGACGCGACGTTACGTTCCTGTGTGAACGTGCGAGCGGAACGCGTCGGTCTACATGGACGGTACCGAACGTAAACTAAATGTAAAATCGATTTATTTACGCCGTTGTATTTTCGTTATTTCACCATGGACGACGAAATTCTAATAGGAAAAGTACGTCAGCATGATGAACTATACAACACGACACACAGAAAGTATAGTGATAACCGTCATAAAGATTTAATATGGGCGAAAATCGGTAAAGAATCGAACACAACCGGTATGTAACTCCGTAATTTGAACACTGTAGTTTTATTTATTTCGTTATTTATTACACTGATTATTAATTAATGTACCTATCAAAAAACGATCGATTTAAAATAAATAAAAAAATGATTAGAATACGTAGGTAATTCTCAATCTTCTACTTTTGGCGGTAGCATGATTAATTCAATTAATAATTCATCTATTACGGCTGTACAGACTTATTTAATTATATTAAACAGTAGAATGTTTCAAGTGAAAACTGAATGCAATAGTTTGAAATGAGTCACCGCCAGTTGCTAAAAATCTAAAAACTAAATAATTTAATATAGAAATTAAATTAAATTCTGGCATAGTTATATTTTGGATTCTGTGTGCAGCGAATAAGCTTATAGTTTTACAATGATGTTTATTTATTATATTTCTGTGGACAACTTTTCTATCAGCAATTATGCTCCGAAATTTAATTTAGGAGGTACTTTAGGAAGGTCAATTTTTTGATTTTCCCAGGAATTTTCCTAATAATCGGGAAAACCCGAGAGAACGGGAAAATAAGCGCAATATTAAAAGAAAACGTTTAATACATATGTAGGCAATTATTTTACCATAATATGACGTATATACTGTTGACAAAATAAGACAATCAACTGAACTCCGGTCAGAATTGTTTATTCGTTGACAATGGTTAATCGTTACTAACAAATATACATTAATATTCACAGGGCAAGTATGTAAAACTCGATGGATCTCACTCAGAGATCAACTCAGGAAAGCATTAAAAAAGAAAAGAACAAAAAGTAGACAAACAGCAGGGAAACAAAAAAAATGGAAGTACGAAGATCGCATGTCTTTTGTGATACCGTTTTTTAAAGAACGAGACGCGTATTCTAACATAGCGTCTCCAGAAAGTGCAAGCGAAGAGTCAAATGACGAAGACATTTCCAATCAGAACAACAATATTACAGAAAAAGATGCGGATGAGGTTGTGGAAAGTAAAAGAGAAACTACGCCAAAATGCAATAGGATTAAGGAGTCGCTATCGACAAAAACAAAATCTACAAAAAAAATGAAAAAATCAATTTCATATTGTTCTAACGCTGAAAAAATAAGCAAACCAGAAACCGCATCACCTGTTTCAATGGCATATGTATTGGACAGCGAAAATGATAAACCAAAGGCAATATCTTGTGCGTCGCATCCAATCGACGTGTTTTTCCAAGGGCTGGCCGCTACTGTCAAAACATTTTCTCCAGAATACCAGCACGTGGCAAAAAACAAACTGTTTGCGATTGTTTCCGATTTGGAGTGGGCGAAATTACAAAATAAAAAAATGAACAAACAGATCGCAGCATCAAGAGACCCTCCGACGTCATACTTTTGCTCTAATTTACCGTGTGCGTCTACAATGTCAGCGCCTGGGATTCAAAATAGTCTACCACCGTACGATAACACACAATTTATGAGACAGGGGGCACCATCGAACACCATTCAATACGTTCAAGCACCAACGCAATCTCCTACTTCTAGAACACCATCGTAATCATCATCATCATCATCATCTGCTTGAAATTATTACGAACGTTTTAATACAGATATAAATGTATAAGGCAACAAGATATGTGCCTAAATGTTTTCGTTTAAATACTCTCAATTGCACAACGTGTTATAATAACAATGAAAAAATGTAATTGAAACGATAGTTTGTAATATGTTGTTTTATAAGTAAGCGTATATTGTTAGATTTATCTTACACACACCATTAACTTCTCCTTAGCACTTATAGCTTCTCGAAAAGACGCTTTTTTTTTTTCTTCTGATTTGTCGATTGATTTCAATTAATAAAACATAAAATCGGTGCTGCGACATTTTAAAATGAAGTTTTATTTTCTAAATCGTCTAAACAAACGTATGACATTCCCCAAACCGCTTCCTTTTCATTACATTTCTCGTATCCGTGTTCTTCTTTACGGTTTTTTCTCTTCTTCGTCGTCCAAAATGATTGCCATTGCTGCGAATATTTTTTCATTAAATTTTGACATGATGAAGTAGAGACATTATATTATTACTAATTGATTTGTTATGAATTTTAATTTTTTACTAGACAACTAAAATATAAGTTTTCAGACGAAATGTTTTCGGTGTTACGCTCTATACACTCGCGTAGACTGGTCCTCCATAAAATCCGAAGTTTTGTTTGACGTTTTCAAAATTTCACGTGACGCGACGTCACATGTGAATGCATAATAAATTTGCCGTGTGACGTTGCCGGTCTATGACGCGACGTCGACGTTCCGTATACCGTGAATCTACCTGAACAAAACTAAAGAATGTGTTTTAAGAATACCGGCGGGTAAAAAGTTGTGTAGACCACCACCCTCGTTTACAAAACTAACTCTGCCCCGTACAACACTATTAATTAATATCCCACCCATCAATTCGATTAGAAATACGGCTCATTGTGTTAGAAATGTTATCCTTCGCATATGCCTGTCTATTAAAAATAAAGTAAAACAGAATACGAAGATTACTTACGCGTATAATCGAATAGAATTCGTTTTTAATAAAACTAATTCGAGTTTTTAAAGTTGCATTAGAAAAGTCTCGGTAACATTAACTAATGCGTCGTCCGCCCTCCCCGACTCGAAGACTTAAACTAAAGCGGACCGGTAGTTTCACTTTAAATAACGGGGATCCCTCATAATTGATTATTACAGTGTTTGGAACGTTCATTATAAAAAAAAAAATATAATAATAATAACGCATTCACGTTCGTTTAAAAAGAACGCATCCTATGCGTTCACACAGTATAGCCAGAAAATCCTTTGATATCAAAGACTATTAATTCCACAGCACCACAAGTATGTAAAAATGTATAAATAATGACATAAACAAATTGGTTTTTAACTGCGGTCTCTCCAAACTTATTACTTATTAGTTATTTGGAATAGAGTGTGGGTATCATTAACAGTAATATTCATTACGTACCTGCTATCACTTTGGCTATCAAATGAACGAAAACGGTCGTTGGCTTAACTCCCGCTATTTGCGTCTATGTGATACATAATACCTACTAACTGTTTATAATCAACGCCTATACAATTTGTAATTTATATCGCCTAAATTCGCACCTTAAAATGGATATGCTCGGTTCAGATTTCTTATTTGAAATTCCATGTTTATATGTATTTGGATTTGTACCGTCCAAGTTTGTATAAGTACCCGAGTTGGTATAAATTATTATTATGTCGTTTGATAATAAATTATAAATAATTATCTTGAATCCAAACACAACTATGATTATTCGAGGACGGTGTACACGACCAACCAATCAGAATACACCTTATATTTTGATGAAATTTGGATCCTGTTGGCGAGTAAGATAGTAGGTTTTTGATATTCCGTGCAGTTTTATTGATAATTTGAGCAAAACTTCTAGAAAAAAACAATAAATAGTTGACGAAAATAATGGTTTCGTTATTTTCAATTTTGTTTTTTTTTTGTAATTCAGTTGAAAATAATCGTTGAGACTTGACATTTCAACAGAAAACTAACATTGGCCTTTTTTAGACATTTTATATTTGATGTGTATTTTAACATAGTTTTAGAATAAAAGTTACAAGCTATGAAATTTATAAAAAAATAGTACTTTGGAGGAAACGACATCAATGTTTTTTGAATTATGAACTATTAAAAAAGTTACAGTTATTTAAAAAAACAAAAAATAAAGGTTTTTGTAGCTTATCTATTAAGCTATATATTTGGAATAATACAAAAACCCCACGTCATTCCCTCCAAAATATTGTTTTCTATAAATTTCATAATTAGTAGTTTTGCTCTAAAACCAAAATTAAGCCAGTTTTATTCATTCTGTATAAGTATTGTTAATGTTTGTTATCTGGTAGTTAGACTGAGACAGTAGATGTGGGTATAACATCCTTTTAATTTAAATTTTTAATATTTACGTTATGAATTCAGATTTACTATTAGTTTTGCAGTTCTAAATTTTTAGTATTACCAAAGTTGTGAAAATCTTTATATTTTATAAATGTTTAACATTTTTGCATGTTTTGATATTTTGTAACTAAAAGTTGCTCATTGTTTAAAACATTATAGTCCAATACTTTTGATAAACAAATTAAACATTTCGGGTAATTTAATCTTACTTTGAATATTTTTTTTATTTTTATAATTTGCCTTAATTTTAAGGTTTATTAAAATACTACAACACTATCACCTATCTCTATTTCTTACCCAAAACAGTTGCCTACTAAAGGTTATAAGTGTTAAGTCATTTTATTTGACAATAATCCTCATCAAGTATAATTGGATAAAAAAATAATAAAAATCTACGTACAAATGGGATGAAAACAAATGTATTATGTGTATTTTTAATAGTACTATGAAGTTGTTTGGATTGAAATGATTTACTATATAATAATTAAACTTTTGATAAGTGATATAAACACAAAATGAGCAGGTGAATTACATTCAGAGGCGGATTTACTAGAGGGCGGACCAGGGGGTCTGGGTACCAATGTAATTTCAATAAAATGTCATCTAAAAAGAGGTATCCAATAATAGATACTTTTGAAATACATATTATTTTTCAGGGCACCTTCTGAAAACTGTTGACAAGCCACCACTGATTAAATTATTTATCAACAATAGGATAATAAAGTTCATACAGTTAAAATAATAATAATAATAATAATAATGTGAACAAAGAATGATTAGAGTCTTAAATAAAATAATTGTAAGTAGCACTTTGAGCATATAGAAAAAATCAAAAGGAATCTTGAGAAAGATAATAAGTACACAAAACTTTATAGTATTGAAAAGTATAATATTTGTTATTCAGGATGTAGCCAATTAAATGTTTGTACAAATGAAGAGCACAAGAAATAAATTATGGTATAATAATAAATATCATACTGTAGTGAAAGTGTTCAAACACTCATGAAGAGTATCCAAAAAGATTGCTAGTAATCTTCACAAGATTGAACAGACATAAAGCATCAGAATAGTTCCAAGAAAGAAAATAATGATACTTGAACAGCATAATATTACAAAACACAGACAAGTACCATACATAAGGAAGTTAGAAATTTCAACATGAAGAAAACTACTGAATATAATAAAATAATAAAGTAAAAACAAAATTATTTAAATGGTTAATACTCATAAATAAATAAATAAATAAATTAATGTATCGCCTGGAGTATTATGATTTGTGTATTATATGACCAGTTTAAATTTAAAAATTCATCATTAGGCATATCACAAAGTCAAAATGTAAAATAAATAAATAATTTCTATGTAAAACAACCAATTTGTAGAATTCTTTTTTCCATGTGTCCCTTCAATTAATTATTTTTATTCAGTGGCGTTTTACATTACGCCTTTGTAATATACTCTTGAACTATTAAAATGGCTAAATTAGATATACTAGGAACGTTATTTTTGAGAACTTAAAAATTCGATTGATATATTCGAAATAAAAACACACTAGATTTGGGATTCAAAGAACAGAAACAAGTAATGTGTATACAGTTTATATTATTATTACTAATCACCAATTTTATTTAACTTAGATTGTGAAAAAAAAAAATGAAAAATTGTTCTGGTTTCTGTTAGCAATATATAAGTTATGTATGTTTATAAATGTAACTACAGATATGACTATTTTAAAGTGGACAGCTATAATGTGTTATAAAATAAATATTCAGATAGCAGTTAAGTTGGAATATAAAACCGATTAGAAATAATTCATTTAGACAATAAATAAATGTAAAATAAAATAAATAAATATAAATTATTTTTCAAATTGCTAAGTAGGATACATTAACTTTTTAAATTACAATTACAACAGGGTTCATTATTCATTATTTGTGACATGATGCAATTATTATGCATTTTGATACAAATATGCAATAATATGAAACAAAAAAATGAATAGTAGAATCTACGTATTAGTGTATTATAAAATGATAATACCGTTTACCTGTGTATCTACATATATATAAATGTTCATACCTCATTAACTTAATATTATCATCTTCTACTCAAATTAGCCGATACCGGTTGTATGAGCACAGATGTATTTTCATATTGAACCATTAAATGTCTTTTAAATATCATATCCTAAAAGATACTTATTTTAAATTGACACAGCTGTATTAAATTATTCATTAAATTGAGTACCTAATTATCTCAATAATTAATGATTTTAAAAATGAATGTTATTAACTGATAACAAAAAATTAAAACACCTATAATCTTATGAATCTAGATAAATAATTATTTTAATTTAGCAAATTGTCATAAAGTTACGATTTTACGTTATAAATTTAAGAGTATTAGACAGAATGATTAAACATTGCTCAACAAAGACAGGCATGTGATAATAATCGAAAACAATGTTTTTTTTTGTTCACCGGACAATTCAAAGGCAATTATTATCATATTGAACTATAACGACTCACAATGGACTCCCAAAAGCATTGCCGACATCCTCGTAACGTCGATTAAATCCGGTCAGTCTATCGATAAGTGTTATCCGAGTGCTGCTGGTCGAAGTGGCGACATCGCCGTTGCCATTTTCGTGTCTGAAACAATAACACAATAAGGCGGGATCCCGAAAAAAGAAATCTGAAAGCATAACGAAAAAAACGGTCCGGGCAAATTACTGATACCCGGGGTTTCCGTTTTTTTCCATGGCAAACACCAAAAGAACGCTTGTCGATCAGTGGATGTGGATGGAATTAGGCAGAGACCGTATGGATGTTTCATATTTCAATTATTAAAATTCCGTTTGCGGCGGGTGGGGGGGGTGGTGAGGAGGAGGGTGTTTTTCATAATCGCGACGAAAACACAACACAACAAGCACCGGCAATTTGAAACTCGCGTCGAAAAAGTGGAATTACCAGCGACCGACGGCTGTATCGATGCCGGCAATTCTGATAACTGTCGCCCAATCAGCAGTGCGCTGTCACGCTAAACAATAATTAATTTTTTTTTTATCGCGTCAACGCGAACGTCAACGAACGTACGTCGTAACCACGGGCTAAACGGCAGTCCCCAGCCCGCCGTGTCGCGTCGTTTCGCGCGTATTGAACGCGACACGTTCCCGTTTGATTGCGCGAAATAACTCGTTCTCCCCGACAACGGAAATTAGCGCCGTTCTCGCCGTCACAGTTCATTTACCGTTCGCCGATAAACGAACGGTAATTATTATCGCACATTTTTCTTAAAATATAATATCGTTATTTCGTTACGTTATTCATGAATTCACGCGCCTATTGTTATTTTGCCATCGATATTTCACCGTCTTCACGCAGGTTTTTTCGTTATTCGTACGATTTTTTCCGCCGAAAAATGGCGATGCCGCGATACGGTTTACTTGTATCATACGATTAACCAATAACAATAATAGAAACACCGAAATTATTTTAATTAATTTTAATTACTAATATATTGCTATTTTTCAGTAGTTAAGTTCTACCAGTAGGGTACTGACACTACTGGTTCTAATAGTAGACATTGATTCGTAATGTCAATTGTACAACATATATTACAATTACTTGGTATTTATTGTACTTATTAGTACTAGTTAGTGATTTTATATCATGAAAAAGTGCATTGTGAAGTGTTTAATACAACAAACTCTTTGCATAGAGTGCATATCTGGCCCTAAAAAAAAAAAACAATGTATATTTTATGATTACATAGCATAAGTTATTGTTTACCTTCACAAAGTTCATATTGAACTTCAACTAATATTAAAATTGAATATTAATTTTAAATTAAATTTAAGAGAAACGAAAATTTTAATACTAATTGAATTTATTATTAAAATGAAAACGAGAAAATGTCGTTACCAGTTATAACCGGCACGTCCAAAAGTTGAATGATGTATTCAACTCCGCGGTATCTGCGGTAACGTGTTGGTAGACACACCGAGATATTTTGTGTCTGCCAAGATAATATGAGCCAATCAGAAAAGAGTATTTCACACGAAACGAAACGACACGGTGAGTTGAGGACTCCCCTTAAGATATTTATCTTGGTTCGTGATCGCTACCGAGGTTTATCGATAATATTATCTATAAACCTTGCACTGTCGCCACCACAATATGTATTAGGACACTGGCAAATAATATCGATGTCCATTTACTAATTTACTAACCGAAACACTGATTAGTACGCAGTACAATAACACTTTTAACTACCTAAAGTAGAGATGGAGTAAAAATTCATTGGGAGCCTAATTCGGGAAAAATCTCACGAAGAACGAAGGGTTGGTTTACGGTATTGACCATTGGCGGTTTCATTAGTTTCGATTTTGTTTTTAATTGCGAAGGTTGTAACTAGTGATGGGAATAATCGAGTAATTCGATTATTATTCTAATAATCGAATGAAAAATTATTAATTACTAATTAGTAGTTACTATTTTTATATTCACTAGTTTAGTTATTTAGTAGTTGGTGATTACCCGTCACGGTGTCAGTAATCACTCTTATTTCTTTCTAACATTTATTGACTACTAATAACTAATATTACCTATATCACTATTTTCTCATCGCGGACGGCGTATCAAAACATTCGAAACGGCGGCACGCCTGCGCAATGACGTCCTTATCTCGCGCAAAGCATAATAATATACAATATGAATCGAAATCAAATAACCCATAGTTTACTATCATGCGCAAATGCTAAGTAGATCATTCTAATCATTTCTAGATAATTCTAGAATAATAAATGAAATATGTAGTTGCTATTCTAATTTTGATCACACACATACCACGTAATATTTAACTATTATATAAATAATTGATTGACCCTTGTTTATGTACATTTTATTGTACCGTTTGTTTCATTTGTTGAAACCGTCCGCGTATCGTAAGAAATTCAAAATAAATTTTTAAATTTTAAAATGCGACCAGGCAGCCAAAAACGTTCTGTGGTGTGGGAGCAATTTAAAAAAAAATGCCGATAAAAGCGTAGTTAATTGTCAAATATGTAAAAAAGAATTAAAGTTTTACGGAAATACAACTAATTTAAAAGGTAATGAATAATGAGTGTTACCGCTCGGAATCTAAAATAGCATGAATTTTCACGATATATTGAGTGATTCTTATCTACTCGGTTAGGTACATCGAATAAATCACTGGATTATGAATATTGAAAATGTTTATCGACTAGATAACGATCTTAATCCGTTCGATTAGGTACAATGTTTCGATTATTTTAATCGAGTGAATCACTCGATTATGATAATCTCTCGATTATCGAAATCATTCGAATATTTCCATCATTAGTTGTTACGTCCAAAAACGACCATTTTCCGTTATCAAAGGACAAGCGTACCTACAATCGAAATGATCGATCGGTTAATAGATGACGCCCGCGCCGACGGACCCGTCGTCGGTTATGTCGTCATGTACAATAATTCCTCCTCCCTCCTCCCGCGCGCAAAGGTTTCGCAATCATTCGTAATTCACAATAATTTTATATTTCCGACTACGGCCAGTTAACGGCCAATCAGATCACGTTTCCCCTTATCGCCGAAAACGTCGGCCCGCGGCGACGCGTGCCGCGGACGTCTCCGCGCTCCGCTACCCAGTTTCTATTTCCTCGTTCTTCGTGTTCACACCTCGTCCCGGGACACTTTTCTCACCAGACGGTCGTTCGATACGGTTCTCTTAATGAAACACTCCCGTGTATTGCACGGATTCACACGTTTTGCCGTCAAGAAAAGGTCGTGTAACCCTTGGCACGTTTCACGGTGGTGCCACAAACGAATCAACGGAGCGAGTCCCGATCTGGTCGGCCGGGCGGAACAAATGGTAATATGTATGCGATTTCATTAATAATTGGCCGATACCGCGTTAGTTTGTTAGTTAGTTTTCGAGGTAATTCAGTGATTTGAAATGTTTTCTTTTTCGTATGTTAAATCCTTCAGGTATACTCATGGGAATCAATCGGCTAGATTTGTGCGTCCGTCTCATTATGCTAATCCCCGCGTTCCACATCCTGTGTGCGATAGGCCGAACCCCCCGCATTTTGTTTTTTTTTTTTAAATTTTATATCCCCTTTGAGTGCTAGGTTTCGCAACCACGCGCGTGAGCATTTAAAAAAGGAATACACACATAGATATAAAATATATATATAGATCGATTTTCCCCGTTTCGCGATCCATAATCGGACGCAACCCGCAGGTTCGCCCGTAAGGCCACCAAAACCACGGACCAGTCAACATGGAATAAAAAGCGCTTCAGCTACCGTACCCGGTGGTAATTTGTAGGTGACCCGGCAACCGCGCATTCCTGCCGGGGTTTCCCCAATACCTAAGGTGGCCACGAAAGTTTTACGTGGCGGTCCATATCGGTCAGCACACACACGCGTGGATGTGGATTCATGCTTACCGATAAATATTAATAAGCTCCCCGCGATGTCGCTACCTGCGTACGGACAGCACGTTCAAGACCGGTTGACGCCCCAGTTAAATGTACATGTATTTAAAATATAAATAAATTGCCTGTAAATGTTTGTTTATAATCCTATGTTTATATATCAATGTAAGAATCGCACCTATTATCCATTCTTTCTCAAGTGACAGTTGTTATGCCCCTGTGCTTTACTGTTGTATTAACTTGAATTTTACTTTTGATTGATAAATTTATAAAATAGTTCTATATTTTCCCCCAAGAAAACCACGTGTTTATTTATCTGAATTCTCCTTTTTTCCCTTACCTCCTCACGAAAATCCTAGGATTCCGGTCTTCGGACCTCGGCCCTAGGTTGGTCTCCGTGTATTTAAAACACAAGTTTTCAAATACAATTTTGTCGGTATCGCACTCTACGCACTTCCGTAGACTGAACGTAGTTCATAAATGCGAAGCCGCGTTTGACGTCTTTAAAATTTTACGTAACGTGACCATATCGGTGTAATAATTAAAAAAAATAAATAAAATCACTAAATCGGTGTTCAAAATATGGAGTTACATACCGGTTGTGTTCAGTTCCCTATCGGTTTTCGCCCATATTACATCTTTATGACGCGGTTATCAATGTGCTTTCTGCGGGTCATATTTGCATGGTAAAATAACGAAAATACAACGGTTTAAACAAATACATTTTAAATTTAGTGTTTATTCGATATCGTCAATATCGACCGAAACGTTCCGCTCGAACGTTCATACTAACCGGCAGACAAGAAAGTCACGTCGAAACAAAATGGTTTATGATATAACGTTGCCGTTCCGTGACGTTGACGTTGCGTAAAGTGGCCGGTGTATGTGAACATTACGAATGCGTCGTATGATATTTTGACGTGACGTTGCCGGTCTGTGACGTGACGCAGACGTTCCGTATATTGCGAATCAGTGGCGCCGGACCATGTTTTAAGAAACGTGGGCTGGTAAAAAGTTGTGTAAACAGCCGCCCTCGTTTACAAACCTGACTCTCGTATAACGCTCTTAATTAATATTCCGTCCGTACTAATTCGATTAGAAATATGGCTGAAATACCCACAACCGTGGATCCACCACCACCAACCCATTAAAAAAATGACGGAAATCGCCGACATTGTACGAATTACTGAAGGTATTACTAAAAAAATATTACGGCCGTTTTTTTTTTTACCTGTGAACCACTTTTCTACCGGCAACTTTGCTCAGATTAAAAATGACAGCACTTTTTATGAAATACATTCTTACTCGAGTGATACTTTGGGGAGATCGATTTTTTGATTTTCCCAACTGTATTCATGATAAATAGAAAAAAATTGGAAAAAATCATGGGCAAACCGGGATAATGGGAAAATAGGTAAAATATTGAACAAATATTATTGAAAAAATACATATGTAATTACTTAACAATAATAAGACATATATACTGTTGACAAATCAACAGTGGCAAACCCATCAGCATTAGGTATATATGTTATGATATTAACACGGCAACCATAATGAAAGTGTTTTTATAAAAGAAATTACCAAATTCATTTTCTAGAATATGTATGTGAACTGAAATTAATTACAGACCAAAATACAGATAAAGTGAAAAAACGACATTGTATAGACACAAGTAAATGTTTAATAAAAAAAATAATAGTAATTGACCAGATAATATTGGAGTTATCTATAAAATCCTTATTTTATTCATAAATACAGTGTTATAAGAAATGATAATAATAATAATAATAATAAAAAAAAAACGTTTTATNATATATATTACAGCGGGTGAATTTACAGTTTGTAATAACATCAAGGGAGATCATTTTTCAACGTTTTCGTACGCGGCTCAAACCTCGCTAGAATTTCTTTAAGAGGTATTCCTTTGGTTTCTGGCAATATGTAAATACTAAAAAGTACACTTAGCATACAAACGATCGTATATATTAACCAAACATTTTCTACTCCTAAATTCGATGCCATTGACGGATATAATTTAGTGACCACAAACATGATGAGGTATGAACTGCTTTGTATAACTCCGTTCATAGTACCTAGAAATACGATTACATTTAACATATCATATTATTTAACGTTTGTTTTGTATTTAATATTATGTCAAATTATGCGTGTTCCTTATAGCGTGCAGTTGGTTCGAACAGAGACCTGGGCTAACCTAACACCCAAAACGGTTAAAACCATAGGTGACCTAATGAGTTTATAAAATGAAACCGCGTCCGGACGCGAAGTGGTAAAAAAAAAAAAAAAGGTACGCGATGCTATACAATTTTAGAGCGTAAAGTATTATCGACAATAATATTATTGAGGCGAATTTTAATAATAAAATAATACATTTTAAAAAACCCGGCATAGTGACTGCACACCGCGGGCCACTGTCGTCAATTGGGAACGTGAGATATACATAATATTACGATAATTTAATTTACATCTATACACGCAATGACTAATCGGTATGGACGAAAAGCGACTCTGGAATGTAATTCGGTTCATCACACGGTTTTGAACATTCTATATTATTTTGTAACTAAAGATATAAATTACATAGAAAAAAAAAAAACCGAAGAGTTATAAATGACGTCATGTCTAGAAAGTGGACGGATGCAGTAAATATTCACGTTTTTTATTATTTTTTTCAAACGTTTAGAAGGAACGTGTTCATATCTTTAACTTGTCAACCTATCACTACCTATCCTACTTATCAACGAAAAGTATATTTGAATGCATACCGTTTTAAAAACGAATTGGTGGACGAGAATATCGGTTAAAGAATAATAATAATAAAAAAAAAAAAAAAACTCAACAATGCATTTCAGTGCGTTCAAATCGATTAACCGCATCGACGGGATTACCTGTGACGTCACTCGGGAACACTTCACTGCTGAGCGTCCAAGGAAACTGTAGTGCGCCCAATAAGGCGAAGAACATGTACGAGATGAATGCGGCGGTAATGATGAGGTCACCGTACGGTCGTTCGGCGTTTGGAAATATTTTCCCGTACGCGATGACGATGATCAATGACAGGGCCATGCCTGCGTACGAATAGGCGGACATGGTTTTGCGAGGGACGTTGTACATGAGCACGAACACCAAGCTGCCCACCATCCGGGATGCGGATATGTACATCGCGACGCCGATGTTGTCCCACTGGACCTGGAAGTCCCGGATCACGTCGCCCGTGTAGCAGAGCAATACGTACAGGCCACTGCCTTGCTGACAGACGACGAATCCCAGCGTGATCAGAGTGGGCATCCAAACCGTTCGGCGAGTGTACAACGACCAGTATGTCGGTGACGGCGATGATGGAGTATCCTGTCGATCGGTGATGATCGTGGCCTTGTCGTTGTGGTGTTTAGTGGAATCGGTATGACCGACCGTGATCATCGCTTTTTCGGGTGTCAATCCGAACCATTGTTCAGCGCGCTCGGCCTCCGGGACGCGGTTGCGTACCCTGAGCCAGACTGGCGACTCCGGTAGCACGAACAGCACTACCATACCGACGATGCCCATCACCGCGAATATCAACGACATGGTTTGCCAGGGCATGAACATTGCGAACAAGCATTCTATTAAATTGCCGATCCCCAAGAACATGAACATCACCGCGAAAAAGAACTGCCGTCGTTTCGGTTGACATATTTCGGTTACGTACACAAATATGCACGATTCCGATCCTGCAGTGTAAGAGTTAAGTGTTAACATTACGTACACTGTGTACTTGCACGGTTATATTAGTATATTGTTATAACACTCGTAAATAATTAGAAGGAAGAAACAATTTTCTGTTTTTCTATGAAAAAAAGAACGTTAAAATAATTTAAAATGCATTTTTTTTTAAAAAAAAATACGAAATAAAAATCTAAATGTTTTCTATGCAAGCATTACTATTGTACATCTGAATTGTTCGTATGATATCATTTAAAACTGTCGACGAAAAAAAAAAAAAAATGTTTACCAAAAACGAGACCGCCAACTATTCTTCCGATGAGGATCGTTTCGTAGCTATCCGAGTACGCCAGTATTACAAAAGCTACGATTATCGGTAAGAATGCGATTTGAAGCGATCGTCTCCTTCCGATTTTGTCTGTCAGTATTCCAATTATGAGTAAACCAAGAGGACTAACGAGCGATGAAACGCTGGCTAAAAAAACAATAATAATAATATTTTACGTGGTATCCGGTCATACACCAATATTTAATTGATACAATTTAAGATTGATCGTGTTTAAAATGATTTGTAAAGTTCAACACGTTATGTATTACTCTTCCAATCGGATATAAATATATTATATGTAATTAAATATGAATAGAAAAATAACAAATAATAATCTCGTTTGAATATAAAAATGTGTTGTATTTTTAAGTATTTAACAGGCGGTATGTTTTAATGATCAAAGATTCACTTACCGATCCAAGAAGCTTCTTCATCATTTAACTTAATCAGCGATGTAGGTTTTTGTAACTGTGCGAACAGAACCGCCGAGAATACCATTATACAGCCGATAAAAAAATAATTATAGGAAACCAAAATGATCACCATCATCTAAACGTAAATATTTCAAAGAACAAAGTTATAAATCCGTTATTCGGTCAACAATATCGTCGATTATTAAATATAATATTACTCACGTGTTTTAGTTGTTCGTAAATTTTTGATTTAATCATTTTGATATAAAATATGAGTTAATTCGTCTGTGTCTTGTTTGATTATAACTCAGCACGACACCCACACTGCTAAATTAAAAATCAAGTTTTTTTTATTTTGAATTTATTATATGGGTACCTACATAAGATACCTGTACCTAACTGGGTACCGCATTCAACGATGCAGCTATATAAATATTCTTCATTTTATCATTTTGTTTTATTTTTATTTTATCTGATAAAGTTAGTTACCGGTCACTATGTAAAATAGATTGCGGATTAATCCTTTGAGTGCTATAAGCGTATCGTACACAGAGTGATCCATTTATCGCGAATCGTCATTTTCCTCGAAGGGTTTTAATTGAATTTGATTTCTGTTTTTTCAATATTTTCGTTTTAGCCTTATACACAAAATCATTTCGATTTTATTACCTCTACTCCGTATACCTTATATGTGTATATACTTTTGATTTTGACGTAAGATTCACCTCCCCCTCCTTTTAAACATGGATTCGAATAGAGAATATTTTTCTAAAAGTGTTGATACGTAGACCACTAATATCGGATTTATCGTTAATGATTTATAACAGTTAAGCATTCAGATAGAAGTAGTAGACAGGGATATTAAATTTCGTATTCATATTTAGAATTATAAATCGATAACCCTACTTTTTCTTCCTAACTCCTGCAGTCTAATTTGACAGGGGGTTGAAAATCCATAGTGTATACTCATATCGGGTATAAGGAGAAGAGACGAAAATAGAAAATAGGATTAGAATGAAAGTTAAGCGATTAAATAATGATTGAAAAAACGGAATTCAAATTCACTTAATATAATCGGAGAAAATTGCTGATTCGTGATAAGTGGATCACTCTGTAGGTATATTGACTGTCGGTAATATAAGGAATAACGTCATCACATAATGTTATGACGTCACACTAATCGTATTAAATAAAAATACGTACGAAAAAAATTAACGTAAGCTTCCATGTATCATTTGTATTTTATAATCGAAATTAAGTATTCAGATAGTCTTAAGTATTACTGTTTGAGCGGATACCACGTAAAATATTATTATTGTTTTTTTAGCCAGCGTTTCATCGCTCGTTAGTCCTTTTGGTTTACTCATAATTGGAATACTGACAGACAAAATCGGAAGGAGACGATCGCTTCAAATCGCATTCATACCGATAATCGTAGCTTTTGTAAAATTGGCGTACTCTGATAGCTACGAAACGATCCTCATCGGAAGAATAGTTGGCGGTCTCGTTTTTGGTAAACATTTTTGTTTTGGGTGTTTTGGGTGTTAGGTTAGCTCAGGTCTCTGTTCGAACCAACTGTACACTATAAGGTACACGCATAATTTGATAAAATATTAAATACAAAACAAATGTTAAATAATATGATATGTTAAATGTAATCGTATTTCTAGGTACTATGAACGGAGTTATACAAAGCAGTTCATACCTCATCATGTTTGTGGTCACTAAATTATATCCGTCAATGGCATCGAATTTAGGAGTAGAAAATGTTTGGTTAATATATACGATCGTTTGTATGCTAAGTGTACTTTTTAGTATTTACATATTGCCAGAAACCAAAGGAATACCTCTTAAAGAAATTCTAGCGAGGTTTGAGCCGCGTACGAAAACGTTGAAAAATGATCTCCCTTGATGTTATTACAAACTGTAAATTCACCCGCTGTAATATATATCTGATTTGTTATTAATTGTATTTATTTGTGTACTTTATAATTGTATAAAACGTTTTTTTTTTATTATTATTATTATTATTATCATTTCTTATAACACTGTATTTATGAATAAAATAAGGATTTTATAGATAACTCCAATATTATCTGGTCAATTACTATTATTTTTTTTATTAAACATTTACTTGTGTCTATACAATGTCGTTTTTTCACTTTATCTGTATTTTGGTCTGTAATTAATTTCAGTTCACATACATATTCTAGAAAATGAATTTGGTAATTTCTTTTATAAAAACACTTTCATTATGGTTGCCGTGTTAATATCATAACATATATACCTAATGCTGATGGGTTTGCCACTGTTGTAGGTAGAAAAGAAGGTACATGTAGAAATCCAAGCAATTCTTCTAGTAAAAATGATTGAGTAGGAAAAGTTGGGCATAGATAAAAAAAAAAAAATAATCATCTTTGTAAAATCATAGGCTTTTTCGCTCCACTCAGTATATAAAATGATACAATTATTTAAAGTAAGATTAAATTAACTAAAATGTTTAATTTGTTTATCAAAAGTATCGGATTATAATGTTTTAAGCATTGAGCAATTTTTAGTTACAAAATATCAAAACAGACAAAAATGTTAAACATTTATAAAATGTATAGATTATCACAACTTCGGTAATACTAAAAATTTAAAACAGTAAAACTAATAGTAAATCTGAATCCATAACTTAAAATAATAAAAATTTAAATTAAGAGGACGTGATAATTTCTACTATTTACTATCATCTATTGTCTCAGTCCAACTATCAGATAACAAACATATACAATACTTAATACAGAATGAATAAAACTAACTTAATTTTGATTGTATAGCAAAAGTACCAATTATGAGATTTATAGAGAACAATATCTTGGAGGGACTGACGTGGGGTTTTAGTATTATTCATCATTCACAGCTCGATATAAAAGCTACGAAAACCTTTTTTTTTTTTTTTTTTGCTTTTTTTAAATAATTGTAACTTTTTAATAGTTTTTAAGCGGATTTTCAACATTTTTCTGGAAGGGGTCCTGAAAAACTATATGTATTCAAAAGATATGTCTATTAATAGATGCCTCTTTTCTAAACGACTTTTTATTGAAAAGGAATCGATGTGGGGGAGGAGGTTCCAGACTTCCTGGATTCCCCCCCCCCCGTATATTCGCCACTAGGTTTCCCGATAGCCTTAAGACAAAATCTGATTATTTTCTTGTTGAAAATAATGAAACCTTTATTCGAACCACTCGTATTATTATAATATGAAGCAAGTTAGATTAGTATTTTTTACTTTATAAGTAAAACCAAAAAAAAAAAAATAAATTTTGGAGGACTTTGGGAAGAGGGAAATGTAATGTTTATCTGTAAGTAACGAAAAATGATTCTGAGCGGAGTTCAGTTGATAGTGTTGTTTTGTCAACAATATATTAAAATATGTCATATTTTGGTAAACAATTGTATAGACATTAGATATTTTCTTTAATAATATTTGTTTAATATTGTACCGATTTTCTTATTTGTTTTACTTTTTTCCAGTTTTTTGATATTTTTTTCTGGTTTTTCCCATTTTTTGACAAAAATCCTGGAAATTTTAACAAAAATCCTCCTTAAAGTACTGTCCCTGTAAGATTTCCGTTTAGAAAGAGTGCTATCATTATAAATAAAAGTAAATTTCTTATTAGAAAAGTTTTCACAGAAAAAAAAAATAAACACCATTCTAAAACCACAAGTTTATTCGCTCTACACATTAATAATACCTTTTAATTTGATTTTAATGGTAATATTTTTTGGGCAAATTGAACGTTATACATTCCTTTAAAAAATATACAAATTAAAGGTTGTTGGATGCGATTAGGAATGAGGATAGTTATATGAAGATAGTTGTGTATGCAAAGACAATGTGGGTGATCAGGTTTAGTGGAAGTTAAGGACAAGGGTGGAAAACTCCAAATAGTTGGGATGAAGGCGAAGGAGAGGAGGAAGAAGATTAATATTTTTTTCTAGCTGAAGTACACATCACTGCACAATTTTATAATATGATGCAATTCCCAAATTCTATAACTCTAATTTAACAAGATCATAAATACGTATTAATGGCATATGCCACTGATAATATAAGATCAATACCTATGTAAGTAATATAGTTAAATACCTACTTATGCGCATTAATCGTTTTTATTTTATACACTTAAACCATGATTGAAACGATAGATAGTATAATAATTTAAGTAGGTACCTAGGATTATATTATAATTCGTTTTATTACAAGTTACAATGATTATGTCAGATGTTTGTACACTTATTACCTGTTATATAATTACTATCGTAAAATAATGTCCGCACATCCTATTTCTATCTCAACAGTTTTGCGTATTAAAATCAAATAGGTAAATCGATAATATAATTATCGTTTCTCAAACATAGTGTTATTCAATATGCTTAATATCCATTATTAATCTCTACGGATATTTATATCGTTTGAAATAACAACAGCTTTTATAACCGTACGTCATTAATAATATAATTGCAATAAGTGATTAATACCTATGTTAAACGATAAGTGGTCATCGTCAAAGAGAAAATCTGGAAGCGTAGCAACCGTTATTTCTTTATCTTGTGTAACAACCTACGTTATGAACGAGCAAACAATACATAGATTTTTGCGCATTTGTCGTGCAAAAAAAAAAAAGTAGAAAATGTTTAATGATTTCATATTTGCAATCGTTTCGTAATTACAAGATTATTGCACCCCGGCCGATGTCCCTTAACCTATAATCGGATTACCTGTATCTTAAAACATTTAATTATTATATTAATGTCGTATTTCGAATGACTTTTCAATACTATAAAGTTTTGTGTACTTATTATCTTTCTTAAGATTCCTTTTGATTTTTTCTATATGCTTGTAAGTGCTACTTACAATTATTTTATTTAAGACTGCAAATCATTCTTTGTTCACATTATTATTATTATAACTGTATGAACTTTATTATCCTATTGTTGATAAATAATTTAATCAGTGGTGGCTTGTCAACAGTTTTCAGAAGGTGCCCTGAAAAATAATATGTATTTCAAAAGTATCTATTATTGGATACCTCTTTTTAGATGACATTTTATTGAAATTACATTGGTACCCAGACCCCCTGGTCCGCCCTCTAGTAAATCCGCCTCTGAATGTAATTCACCTGCTCATTTTGTGTTTATATCACTTATCAAAAGTTTAATTATTATATAGTAAATCATTTCAATCCAAACAACTTCATAGTCCTATTAAAAATACACATAATACATTTGTTTTCATCCCATTTATACGTAGATTTTTATTATTTTTTTATCCAATTATACTTGATGAGGATTATTATCAAATAAAATGACTTAACACTTATAACTTCACTTATTTTTTTTTTGAAGTGAGTAAATTTTTTATATCATGCCTAAATTAAGTGATAATAATAACATTCGTTACAATAAGTACTATTAATTTAAATATTATAATTTTCAATAATTACTTAAAGCCTGTGTGAAATTCACTTAATATAGTTTGCAAAGTATTTATACATTTGAAATTTAAATGTGTATTTAACAGTAATAGAAAAAATTATATACATCTACTTAACCTGTTTACATAATTTTTACTCATTGCTTATTATTTATTTTATGTATATATTTTTTATTTTTTATTATACATTGTTGTTTTTGGGTTCAAGGTAGGCAACTGTTTTGGGTAAGAAATAGGGATAGGTGATAGTGTTGTAGTATTTTAATAAACCTTAAAATTAAGGCAAATTATAAAAATAAAAAAAATATTCAAAGTAAGATTAAGTTACCCGAAATGTTTAATTTGTTTATCAAAAGTATTGGATTATAATGTTTTAAACAATGAGCAATTTAAACAATGATTTCCTGTATCTTAAAACATTCTATTATTATATTAATGTCGTATTTCGAATGACCCGAAAAACAAATCCGAGATAATGATATTCCGTGTAACATTAATAAGTTATTTTTAAACTAATCTGACTAAAATCCCCAACTGAAATCCTTTTAAATTATGAGTCATAATTTATGACCAACAATAAGTTTCATTTTAATCATAATATTGCATAATATTGAATTGTAATAAATTACACAATTTTGTCGACACGTTTTTATATACTTGTACATAATCAATGTGTATATTATGTGTGGTTTTTATAATTTTGTAAAAACGCGCGAACTAATTGAACGGTTCTTGCGACAAACATGATAACATGTCAACGATTATAATTTTTTAGTAGACGATAAATATGATTTTTTTTTCTTAAAAATAAAAACTTGTGTCCTATATTTTTAATTTAGGTTATTAAATACGAAGATTAATCATTTTTGCAGGAATTTTTTTTTATAAAATAAAGTCGTTTTAAGTAAGTTATTGCCGACTTATTAGTAGTAACTAGACTAATAACTACTAATAACTAGACTAGTCTGTCAGTTATACTATTTTATTTTTGTTACCTACGTCGTCTTATTATACGATTAAATTCAGCTTTGCATCTGCAGGTTCGTAATAATTGTACATAATTGTACCTGTGTTAACGTCATGTCGTTTAGTTTGACCGTTGTCTGAGAGATTGTTCAAAAAAGACAACAATTAGGCGAGATAAAAGAAAAATAACACGAACGACGGACGTGAGTAGGTTTATCACGGGTTACCGCCGGTCTTGACGGAGGTCGGAAACGGTCTCCTTGAACTCGAATAGAGTAACAATATTACGAATTCATACCAGGGTCTCGTGTGTCGCGGTTATCGTTTCTATACTTTTACTGGATGGCGGAGATATCTTGGCGGAATTTCGCAATTTTTCCAGTGTATCACTGATAATACTATCGGTGTACACCAATAAAATAATCACGATACCCGAACCGCTGCGCCCCTAGTAACTTTATTCACTTGGTCATCGAGTTTTTTCAAGGCTTGGGTCATCGTTATCGACGTCGTATAATGTTGGAATGACACAAACGTTCGTTTATTTGTTTTTTGAAACGCCATGTCGATAGTAACATAACTGAAGTCCGATACACTAGAAAATAATTGATTTAATCGACAACATTTTATAAGTTAGGCCGGGAATTCTTTATTTCCGACAAAAAATTCGTTAATTCGTTTTGGTTAATATTGTTTCAATCGAAAAACGACAAGAAATCCTTTTTTTTTTTTGTTTTATTTTTAATCTATTTGCTTAATACAAAAGTCGGTTTTTGTGTTCAGTGTAGTTTTTTTTAATAACTGAGCAAAACCAGAATAAACCAAAACCGAGTCCTTAAACTTTCACCGAATACTTGTTTCAAAACTTTTTAGACGTAGTCTAATTTACAAGACATCTTGAAATTTTTTGAAAAAAATAATTGGGTCAATGTATATAATAAATATTATTTTTTTTATGAAATGCGTAATGGGCCTTTTTGCCTTTAACGGCCTAAATTCGACCAACGAGTTGCAATCGTTATATTGAAGTGCATTGTGAATATATACACCTACAACCTATAACAGTGTCTTCCCATAGTTCGAAGTATATAGGCTTTTTATTTTCTTACATTGGTTTTATTGGTTTCAATTAAATTGTATTGTTTTTCTCGTATGACAATCGTATACGTTGGTATATGATTTTTATAACACACTTATATGTATTGTACCATAGAGTTTAGTATATCCAGTAGCGGAGTTACGGAGGAGGTGGTTCGGGGGTCCTGAGCCCTCCAGAGACCAATATAATTGCAATAAAATGTCGTCCAAAAAGGAGGCATCTATAATTAGATACCTTTAAAATATATTACATGATTTTTCAGGACCCCTCCCAGAAAAATGTTGAAAATCCTCTACTGAATATATCATTATTGTTTGTTCTGTAGCCTTTAGGTACACACTACACAGAAATTTATGTACACATTTATTTGTACAACCGTTTTCTGTTTTAATTTAAACATCATAGTAGCTATGCAATATTGTAAATATATATAATAATTCATAATATTTTTATAATATATTAATATTGTTTAAAGATTGTATTTTCGTGGTTTTTTGGTTAGTTTCATATTATAGACATATATATGGTGGTGACAATGTCTGATGACAGAAAAGATCATATATCTACAACATGTTTTTTCAATATTATGAAAATATTCTCTCACAATATTGTACTAATATTTTCCAGAAATATTAAGAATATATTTTTGTACAATATATTGTTACAATATTACTTTGGTACTATAGGTAGCTACTTATTTATTTATAACAGTGGTTCCCACTACGCGGCTTGTACTAAAACGTCTAAAACTGAATTACACATTCTAAAATCCTACATTTTACACTTTTAAAGAGTAAATAAAATAAAATATATGCAATTTTATTTATATAGAAAAAAAAAATACGCTCACAAAGAGATTTGTTTTTATGTCAATATTGTGGAAAAAATTCGAATTGATTCATTGTATGTATTATATATATTATTGTAATTTTCAAAAATTATATTTGGCCCTCTTGAGAATCCCAGTGGTGGCCGCTGATTTATAGATACTGCTATAGATCTATGTAGCCGTGTTTATAGTACATAAATACATATACGTTATGGTATAATAAAAATAAAGATAACAACAGTTGCTGGAAAATATGAAAAATTTACGCAACTCTGTGGGTAGTCAGATAAAGGTACCCATTTACAAGCTGTAAAGGTTGTAAAATTGCAAAACTTATAACAGTTTCATTCACAAATAATGAAATAAGAATTTAAATTTATCATAGAAATTACTATTATACTTGTGTGTTTTCTTATTTTTTTTTTTTTTTTATTGGGAAGGAGTAGGAAATCAATATTAAGATAATAAAATAATTATTTTGGTTTTTTCGTGTTTTTTAAACCTAGGAAATTAATCTCTAATCACATTTTCATCTGCCTCGGTAGCGCAGTAGGTAGCGCGTAAGTCTCATAATCTTAAGGTCGTGAGTTCGATCCTCACCCGGGGCAACCATCTTTTTACAATTTTTTTCAATATCCGGTAATTCACTAACTGTATGGCTATGTATGTAATATTTATGAACACTGCGAGGGAAGCGACTACCTCAATGTTTTCGACGTAGGTATTTTTTATTGCTATTATTATAACAATTTTGTCCGTAGGAGCGGGGAACCTTAGTGACGATAAATCATTACAATCATTAATATGATAAATAACGATAAACGGTTCTGATATGAGCTCAAGAAAATAGTGAGTTTCGTCAAAATATGATTTTTAAACTTACTGGTCCGTGATAAAACCATTAAATTCCAATTTTTCAACTGTGTCATCTGCAAGGCCCAAGGGAAACCATAAATCAATAAAAAAACAAATTTAAATAATATACTTTCTGTGTCGCGGGCAATTGGTTTTTTAATTTTGAATTTTTTTTTTTTTTTAGAAGAATTAGATTGTAAATCTAGAGTTTCGAATATAAGTAAGCGGCTGAAAAATCTGTAAAAATATGTCTCAAACTTTAGTAGGTAAAACGTATAATACAGTTTCATCGCTTCACTCGTAATTTAAAAAATAAAATCGATTTATAATTTAATGTAGGTATACGGTATAATGGTACACATTACAACAATACAATACTATGCATATAAAATGTACTTGTATAATATATTAAATAAATATATATATTCCGTATATACGTATTTTACATACATTATTTTATCAATTTATAATCGAATTATTCATTTAAGATGACTTGTAGTTCTGCAGTTATGTATTATATTAATTTTAAAATAACCTCCAAATTTTCTTTTACATTCTAAGATTTCTGTATTAGTTTTACTATGACGTGTGTGTGTGTTTTTTTTTTTGTCTGTTAGTGAATAATTTCGCAACTCGAAATATTGCATCGATCGTCAATTGTAGCATTTTTCTTAAAGGAATTGTCTTATTGATGAATAATTGAAGAGGTCAATTTTGTATTTTCCTTATAGTTTTCGTAATAATATTAATCCAATTATTAGAAAAAGCGCAAAAATGGAAAATTTAGGCAATTTCTGTTATCTTCGATTTTGTTTTTTGTTGTAGTTCAATTAAAAATAACTGTAAGGACTTGAACATTTCACCGAATACTTATATATAGGTATTATTTGTTTATAAACGTGGTATATGTATAACTTTCAAAATATTTTGTAGATTTTTGAGAACTTATTTATAGAACTTTATTAATACCTATCTATAATTAAGTTTTGTATGTATAGCGTTTAAAATTGAACTTTTTTATTTATAAGTTTTTATTGATTTTTTTGAGGATCATAATTTTAAATAATATTTCCCGAGAGAAAAACTACTTGGAAATATAATTAACAT